GCTTTACCCATACATAATCACTGTTTTATGGCTTTCACTCATTCCTGAGGTGTTAATGCAGATCAAATGGGAAACACTCGAGAAAGACCCCTTGCAGCTACTGCACTGCGTAGCTCTCCCGTCTCAATCGTTAATTCTTATAGTAAGATCTAAAGGTAATTTTGTTTGCTCTCTTAATGCGATGCAGTTCTCCCAGTGGCCCTTGCATATCCTTTCTCAAATTCCCATCTTGATCAATTGTTTGCAAATAATTAAGCTTTTAAGAGATGATGGCATGAGGCTAATGTACACAACAAAGGCAAGGTCTCCAGTCACTGTCTATTGGACTGTGGTCAAATTTGCTTTGATATCCCAAAGTGGTTAGGTGGATTGGTGTAGCTGGCATGTGCAATTCATCTTTCCTTCGCAAGACTCTACTGAGCTTTCTTAAACTAGTGTCCTTGCCATTTAGACGCAATAACAGTGAAAGTGTCCAGGAAAATGGCAAGGGGTGACTCAGGCTCTATGTTGCAATGGTTTGGAATGAATTTCCCATTTTCTTCTTAAAATGGCACTTCTCAGGGATCACTCTTTTTTTATTTCCTTTGCAAAATGACGGGCTGCCTTTGCCCGTAGCACCCTCGCTAGCCTTGTGGGCTGAACACAATAGGGCTTTGAATATTTTTACAGCAGCCTTGCCTGTGGCACGTTAGGTTTTTGTCATTTTTTTTTAAAGTCTACGAAGGAATAACTCATACTGTCTACAAAAAGCTTATCTAGTAAAGATGCACAGGATTTAAGATATTTAAATATATTGGATTTCAGTTAAAAAGACTACTTCTTTGCAGATTTTTGGCTGGCTATGGATTAGCTGCAAGAAGTAATGGCTTTCATGTGATTCTAGCAATTATAGATTTTTTTGAGGAACTGAAAGTTTGTGGGACACCAAGGCCAAGAACTATGAGAAAAAGAAAAAGCAGTCAGTTGACCCACCGTAGAGGAGGGTCTAGGAATTTTGTTGATACCTTATTTTTTTCTTAACAATGGCCAGATTATTTGTGACACTTAATTTTGCCCAGGCTTGTTCATTTCTATTAAAAAAAAAAAAAAAAAAATCCCGAACAACTGAAAATTGCTTAATGGAGACAGAGTGCTGGGTCTCTATAGCTTGAGGCTGCCTAGCAATTATGCCGCATGAAATTAGACACAGTTTGTTCCAATTACTTAAAATTAGATCACATGAAAAGTGACAGAGGAAAAAAAGGTAGAATTTTCTCATTTTATGATATTTAAATTATAAAATCAGAAACTACGTGATGTGAAGGAACAGCATAAAGTTGCACTGAAATTTTGAGGACCATAGTGTTGCTCTTTGAGGCTGTAATGACTCAGGTAATTTTAATGATCCAAAGAGAGTTTTCCTGACACCACTTACATAAATAAAATGTGAATTCCATTTGCTTTATAAGAATATATATAAAACTTGCTCACAAGCAGGCGTGCAAAAATACTCTTGAAAACACAGCACAAATAAATTACTGTGACAATTCTCAATTTTGAAAGTAATAAAGATAAATGGCATAAATATTACTTGTTATCCAGTTCTGGTCCTAACATTAAGACACAACTAACAAGAAAGGGTGAAAGGTGTTGCCATCCAGCTACAGTGAGAAGGGAATGTTGACATATTTATTAATTCTGTTCAAAATCACTGGAAGAGATTTTCCACAGGACCTGGAAAACTGTAAGCAAGATAATGTTACAGAAAATGTTCTAGATAAGACACTGCTTGCATACATTAATCTACAACTTTATATGGCAAATAGTACCAATAGCTGGATGCTATAATTCACATATTTCAAAATTGAGTTTATATTCTGGTTGGATGATAATGTAAAAACTGCTAGCTCAAGTAACCTTTAACTTCAATGGTTCTTAGAACTTAGATGGCAAAACTGAGGATTAGAAAAGTTGTTCCTATGTTCAAAGTCACATAGTGAGTGCCAGCATAAATGATACAGTGTAATAGGGTCATGTTTACCTACCTATGATTCTTAAACTAGTACAGACATGGAACTACTATGTACCAAACCGTAATTCAATAAAAAGATTCATTTGGTCTGCATTGTGTGGCAAACATTTACAGAGTGGGAGTTATATTTTAAACCTTAGAGTTGTTGTTAGGTGCCCTTGAGTCAGTTCCGACTCATAGCAACCCTATGTACAACAGAAGGAAACACTGCCCAGTACTGCACCTTTCTCACAATCGCTGCTATGCTTGAGCTCATTCTTGCAGCCACGGTGATAATCCATCTCATTGAGGGCCTTCCTGTCTTTCCCTGACCCTCTGCTTTACCAAGCATGATGTCCTTCTCCAGGGATTGGTCCCTCTTGATAATGTGTCCAAAGTATGTGAGATGAAGTCTCACCGTCTTTGCTTCTAAAGAGCACTCTGGCTGTACTTCTTCCAAGACAGACTTGTTCATTCTTCTGGCAGTCCATGATATGGTTAATATTCTTCGTCAACACTGTAATTCAAAGACAACAATTCTTCTTCCGTCTTCCTTATTCATTGTCCAGCTTGCGCATGCATATGAGGTGATCAAAATACCATGGCTTGGGTCAGGCGCACCTCAGTCCTCAAAGTGACATCTTTCCTTTGCTTTTAAACACTTTGAAGAGTCTTTTGCAGCAGATTTGCTTGATGCAATACGTCGTTTGATTTCTTGACTGCTGCTCCCATGGGCATAGATTGTGAATCCAAGTAAAATGAAATCCTTGACAACTTCAATCTTTTTCTCCATTGTGCATTTCTTTTAGCTCAGTATCCAATTGTTTTGGTTGCTGTGACTGGCATTACCTTGAGCAGGCTGATTGCCACCTATGATTTTAGCTTATTACAAGGTTTGTATGCTTTTATTTGAAAAGAATGAGTTGACGTCACTTTCACAATTGAAGTAAGGAAAGTAGTATAGTCAATCTCAGATTGGATTGTTTATGCTTCCTGTAGGTGTTGAAAATTTTTTATTATAGATTTGATGTTGTATCTGAGTGGAGAATATCTGTGTATCTTGGCAAATAATAGCTATTCATTCCTTTGACAGATATTTACTGATTTCCGGTTATGTGCTAGTCAGGGTTTTGAGGATGGTGAGCAAGATAGGGAAGGACTTTAGAGTTGCACAAACAGTTAACGACTCGGCTGCTCACTGAAAATTTGGACATTTGGGTCCACCCAGAGACCCCTCGGAAAAAAGACCATCTACTTCTGAAAAATCAGTCCCTGAAAACCCTAAGGAGCACAGTTCTGCTCTGACACACATAGGGTCACCATGAGTCAGAATCGACTCAACAGCAGCTAGTTGTTTGGTTTAATTGGCTGGGAAGAGACACGCCAAAGAGGAAAAAAATAATTTAAACTGATGTTTCAGGGAGTGATGCTTGCTGCTAAGGAAATAAGAGAAAGGTTGATGGGAGAGTGATAAGGTGGGGGGGTGGTGACTGAGCTGGATAAAGCTTGATATTTTAGCTAAGACCCGAAACTGACAATGGAGCAGGAGCCTGAATGATAGGAACAAGCTTGGCATGTTGGAAGAACAGAAAGCAGGACAGTGTATCTGGGCAGAGGGGTGGCATGAGGGTGAGGCTCAGGAGGGGCGATGGATTCCATTTATGTCCCTCAAAGGGATATAATGGGGATTAATTACCATCCTGTCTGTAATATACTTGGAGCTCTTTAGAGAAAGGCACTATATTCCATGAAAGCAAAGCCTTATTCTAATTGTGTACTTATTGATTATGTGACAATCAAAGACAATGCTTATGGGAAAAATTGCTGTGTCTCTGCTCTACACAAACGAATCCCATGTGTATAGGAATAGAACATATTTAAACTTACATATAAGAGCGCTGGTCATTCATAAGCCTTTTTAACATCTAATCAGACATTATTAATGAAATTAAAAGCTATGTTAATTAGCTTTCAATAGACCAGAATTTAGTTTCAATGGCACAGATAGTTAAACTGAGAGTTGGGGGTGCCCTTTTCCATTCATAATAGAACAGAGGGTTGACTATCAGAACAACTTTATCTTGGGAGAGTTTATTGTGATGCTTTGTTTTGAGCTAGCCGGTGTCTCCATAGATGGAAATCATGCTCTCAGTGCTTTCCTCAGGTTTTAGAAATGTATATTTCAAATTTAGATATAATTGACTATTGAACAAAAAGTGTGCCAGAATTAATTGCTGTCAAATTCTAAACCTTCTTACAGGGAGGCATGGGTTTCATTTTATTATCTTATCCTGCAATACGCTTTATCCACTGTAATTCATGAGGAACATAGCTGGGCTTGTTCTTGGCATGCAAAATATGCTGGTCTTTGACCTTCTATTGGCCTGTGTTCACAATCCCAGCATGTGTTGACATTCAGATATGGAAACCAACTCTGGTTGAATTTTGTTGGTTTGCGCATTGGAGAAGAGCTAAGTGAATAGTGGTTTTTGTTAGTTTTGTTCTTACTCTTTAAATATAGCTACTCTCCGTTTTGATATTTACATCCAGCAATATGGTATTTTTGAAGGAGAGTGTCACACTGACGCAAGGTGCTTAACAACTGGAGATTGTTGGTTTAAATGGTTAAGTCCACAGTGTCATAAAAATATTAAGTCCAAGTGGTATGTTTTTATATGGTAAAGCAAAAGGCTTGCCCTTATTTTAATCCTATAAAATACAGTGAGGATCATACTAAACTTTCGTGTTTGCAACAAATAAACCTGGTAAAGGATAAACTCAGTATCAAGGTTCCGCAAGTATCCTAAGTAGCTATTTATACACTTCACTAATCTTTGTAATTGGCTTGTCTTTTAGTGCCATTAATTAGATGATGTAGTATTCCATTAATAAGAGTGACACACCTCAGCATTTTTACCTTTAATTATAGACTTCACTAGACACTTAGGTTATTGACAAAATGGCCTGAATATTTTCTGATGTACACGTATCTTTTTTTGTTCTCTTTAAGCATCCTTACCCTTCTGAAGAACAGAAAAAGCAGTTGGCACAAGACACGGGACTCACCATCCTTCAAGTGAACAATTGGTAAGTAATTTGGCTTTGTGTTTACACACAGTCTGTTCCCCCTCTGGCAACCTGCAGCTAATGTTTTGCATTAAGAAGACACACCCAGTTGTTGCTGCTTTCCCTGGTGGCGTTTTGATCCAAAGGTGAATACAAACTGTTGACTGATAGGGGAGACACTTGCTAATCAGGAAAATGAAACATTGTATCATTTTCCACCTCCTTTCTAAATTGGCAAATTTTATACATAGTATAGGCATGTGTTTAATTCATATTCACCATTAGCTCTGTAAGTGTGTCTCTCTCAATAGCTTCCCCCCCCTCCCCCTTTCAGGATAATTGATACATAGAGTAGTATCATCCTATTTTCTAGGAAACAAGAAAATCCACCATCCCATATCAGTCAGGTTTTATATTCATTGAATAACTAAATTCAGTTAGATTTTGCTAGGGCTGTGTATTCAAGGATGGTCTCCCCTCTTCCCTTATCTCTAGTATATTGAAAGGGAGAAATAGCTACTTTGAAGCTCTTCAAACCTGATGTATTTCAGGGCTGTGCAGTACTGTTTCTAAATAAATGTGTAAATTCCTGATTTGGGAGAAGCTGAGATTATGTACCAACCTCCAGCCAACAATATTCTGACTTAATGTACAGTGACGTGGCAACGAGGCTTTGGGAAAGTATGATTTATTACCCTTTGTGAGTGTGCTGAAAGCCAGATTTCATATAATCACCCGGAGCTAGTGTCATATTTGAAGGGTATCGAAATCCAATATCCTCTAAACCTAAGTGTATCTAATTAATTGTCCTAATATTTTTAGATTAGTGTTTATGTTGGGGAAACCTTATCCTCTTTGAAGTAAAATCCAGAAAAGGCCAAAGCCTGGCTGGGGAAAGGGGAGAGCTGGGAATGCCGGTTTGCAGACAGAAGTATTTCTTTCTGTCCAATAAGTGTCAAAGATTAATATTACAGAATCTCTGATTACATGGCCTAATCCATTTTGGTGAATAAATTTGTTCTTGATGTCCATTGCACCTACATTAACAGACCCTTCTCTGTTAGAGAGCCTGGGAGCCTTTGGGAGAGATTTCAGATATATTAAACCCCATTACATAAAATGTAATTTCTGTCAATATAATCCCATGTATTCTTCAATTTAGTATTTTAGAGATAACAAGCTACTTACAATATATTTGCCTTTGGAGGATTAATTTACAAAGTGCACTATCTGCAAGACACAGCCAGACTCACATAAGCATCGCTTGTAAGGGTTATCAATTTCTGTGACCTTACGGCAGCCTTGGGAGATCAATTTTTGCAGCAGCCCTTCAGTCAGTGGCTAGAGAAGGAGCAGAAAGCTTACTCTATCTAAACGTGTTACCAGGAGTCACGTTGCTGCTGAGTTGTTTTTTTTGTTTTCACCTGCTGTTGTACCTTCATTTTCAAGTCAGTGGATACCACATATTTGAATTTAATCTTTCAAAGTGTTCGAGACGAGATTAGAGGGTAGACGACTTTTGGATGCACACCTAAATTCACATTTTTTTTTTTTTAACTTAAACTGATGGTGAGGTGATTTTAATACAGTCGAGAGGCTGTCCAAATGTTGCATTTCCCTGGGAAATGTTCCGCTTTGAGGGCAAAGGAGTGGCAGAGCAAGCTCTCTCATTAAGGGAAGCAGAGGCTCTGCTGCTGTTCAGGTGATGTATCACACATGCCATCTCTCTTCCTCCTTAGTGTTGCTAGCAAACTCCATCCATAAACACGGTTACCAGGAAACACATTCCAGTACAAGTTGCTTTCCTTGGGTGGAAAACCTCATGGTCCATCTCTTGTGAATGCAGAGGCAGGAAGAAGGTCCTATGCGACCCAAAAATATACATTGATTTTTCAGATTCTGTGCAAAATCTGTGTTGGAGACACACGGACTGTTTCTAGTCAGTGATCACAATCCTACTTTAATTTGTAGTTCAAAACCAAAAAAACCAAACCCATTGCCGACTTAGTGTAACCCTCTAGGACAGAGTAGAACTGCCCGATAGGGTTTCCAGGGAGTGACTGGAGGATTTGAACTGCCGACCTTTTGGTTAACAGCCAAATGCTTAACCACAACGGGAGGAGAAAAAGATCGCAAAATAAGTTATAATCATAGCACGTACATTAAATAATTTTTCAAAGTATATGAAGACATTGCCCTAAACAACATATTGATACTCAGTTCTGCACAGGTATATACCTTAGCAATTACTTTTACGTTATTTGGGATAGAAACACAATTCTGTTCCTTAACCAGCACCTCGGGTGGTCTGTGCTTGTGTTCCCTTTGCTTCTATGTGGAGTTAGAAGTGACTTTTGCTTGCACTTCATTGCTGTGCGTTTGACAACTGTTTCAACTCTCAACAACTTTGTGGTAGAGAATTTTCCTGAAGTTACTGGAAATTATAATAGAGGTTGGTTTTTCTTCACTTTGATGAAAAATGACATTCCCATGTTTGATTTGAGTTTTTAAAGGATTATTAATTCTCTTCCAGACCTCTTACTTTTAAGGAACCGATAATACATTTTTTTTCTTTAGACATTGAGTAGGAAATACGATGCAAAAACGGGGAAACTCAAACAGTACTGCATAGAAACCAAAATGTCAGACAATCTTAAAATGTGACCTATTTGAGTACTAAAAAGCAGAATAAACACTGTGTGGTTTTGCTTTTGCTTTACTGTACTGAGAAATTACACAAGCTTCTTTGAAAGCTTGTAATCATTTTTCCTGTATTAAACATCAGCCCAAGTTACTTCCTTCTAGAAATACCTTAAAAAAAAAAAAAAAATCCTCATTAGTATTTTAGCAGTCTTCCTTCATCGTATTTAGCTACACTTTTTCAAATTTGTGTCTTCCTTCTTGGATTTCTTAAAACTTGTTAACACATGTACATTTTTGTACGAACTATGAGTCATTGTAAGTCACTGTTGGAGAGATTTAATAAAACGCCGAAGGGCAGGCTGGGTGTAGATCAGTCATAATTATTGGCAGCAACATAACATATGAAATACACAATATGTAAGTGAAAATATAAACTCATGTCTGGTTGTTAGCTTGTCATAGAGACCCTGGCTGACATAGCATTAAGTTAGGTTTGGATTGGAAAATGGGATGAGAAGTTTGACGCATTGTAATTATTCTTTCATTCCATCACCGAACTAATTTTACCCTTCTTTAATTGCCATATAAGTGCTATATGCTACCTGCTTTGGCTGACTATTTCCAAAGAAGATTAGGCCTGAGTGGGGGAGTATAGCAGGGGGAATTAAATGTAAAACAAGGAAAGCAATTTGATTATTCAAGAGAAAATTAAGAATAAAAGAAATAATTGTTGTAACTCTTACATTTGGTCTGCTTGTCAGAATAAAAAAGGAAGAATCTTTAAATGGTTTGCATTCATTGTTAACAGGATTTGAGGCCTCAGGATGTGAAATTTATTAGAGGAGACATCTTAGGCCAAGTCTATGCCAATAAATTACTTATGCAAATAATCTGGGTAAAAATATTTTTGCCTAAATTATATAAATATTTGAGGTAAATGTATGTTTTTTTAAAGTATTGACTTCCATAGCTAATTGCCTAAATATTTCAATCTAGCATGCTAGATGGAGACTTCAAGCATACTTCTGAAATATAATGTGTGTCATAAATTTATGTATTCTTCCTCCTTTGCTCTCTCACCCCCAATTATAATTTTCTTTTTTTTAATCGTCCCAATTATAATTTGATCTCAAAATGATAAATAGTAACATTCAGGGCTTTTGTCTTCTTCGTTTTTTCAGTGTTGTTGTTGTGACAAATATCTGTTACATCAGCAGCAAAAGTACATTAATGTGTTGAATTTCTTCATCATCTAAGTAGAAACTTAAAATTTTTGGATTAGGTGATTATTTTAGGTCTTTAAATATTTAGGTTGAACTTTAAAGAAAATACACACACATACAAAGTGAATACTAGGTACTCTTTTCTCTGGAATAGATGAGCTTTATTTTTTTATATTGAAAATGTGAATGTAGAATGGTCAAATGCAAACTCTTACGTGTTTTCACACCAATGTTGCACACCTGGGAATTCTGTGTGATGAAAACTTGTGCCTTGTGATTGTATCTCAGTTGCTGAAAGCCTCACACACTTCCTGCCTCAGCAAAGTTCTAGCCTAGGGTATACTGAACGAATTTTACAGTTTCCTTGTTTACTATTCTCATCCAAACACTATCGCATTAAGGAGTGATGTTAAACGATTATTCTTTTGTGCTCTGAGAAGGCAATATGGATTTTAGGTGCTAAGTATGTGTTACATGTGAAATAAAATCTGTGTGCGGAGAGAAAAAAATCACTTTCTGTCAATATCCCCCCCAAAAAAAGAAAAGAAAATCTGTTTCATTCCAGCTGATTCCGACTTATGGCGACCCCGTGTGTGTCAGAGTAGAACTGCACTCCATGGGGTTTTCAGTGATGGCAAACTTACAGAAATAGATCCCCAGGCCTTTCTTCTGTGACTCCACACTGGGTAGATTTGACCTTTTTGTTAGTAGCTGATCACAGACCATCCCGGTAGCAATCCTAACATCCGAGGTGATGCTGTGCAGAACTGTCACAGATCTAGAGTTCACAGATTTAGTACACGGACCAGATTTTCCTACTTACTTCATTTACTGCCTTCAAAAGTGCAAAGCATTCAGGCAGTACCTCCCATGTATTACTAGTGGGGAAAAAAATGTATGTTATCCTTAGAGATTTATGCCACTGGCAGGTAAAAAATGTAAACTTATTTTTAAGAAAATAGGATCTCCTTTATTAGAACCAACAGATTCGACTGGTAAAGGTCAAGTTCCTTTCTGAGTTATTGTAATAATGCAGTAAATACTTTTATATGTAATCAAATATTCTATAAATATAGGTACCTATTTCGATGTAAATGCTAAAACATTCACAAATTACCCCTTCAACTTCTGTGATCTAAAAATCAATCAGGGGTC